GGTTGACAACGCTGTCCTAGAAACACAAAAAGTACCCAAACTAACTCTAGAATAAATATAAAATCTGATGAGACATAATAGGTAAAGAGATTGAAACAATTATCAAAAACCCACTAACAAAGAAAAGTCCAGGACCAGATGGCTTCACTGGTGAATTGTACCAAATATTTTGAAAGGAATTAGCACAACTACATCAGGCAGTATTCAAAAAAAATTTAATGGAATACTTATGCATTGTAAATTTTAAAACTTCATATTTTCCTGGTGCCCAAACATCCCCATGAACAGCCTACATGCATCCTACCCAGGTGACCAGGTGCACCAGTGTGATAAGTCTGCCCCCTGCCACAAGTTTCTTTCTCTTTTTGTCCTTCCCTGACTGTGACCTAGTGACATTCAAACACATCAATGAAATTCCCTAATACTTTTTGCTTTTGTGTCCCATCCTGACCCCCAATAAACGAATTTGCCCATTGAAACTCAGGCTCTTTCTCTGCTCAACAGCTTAGTTGAGCTTGCTTCCTTAGTGCTCCCTCCATGTGGCCCTTTGTGACATGCAGTGACTCTGTCTCTCTAGGATCTGTGAGTATAATAAATTTTGTTTTCTTGTGATTCTCCTGTGTTCCCTCTTGTGGCCACATCTAACTGACCATATCATAACTGACCAAAACAACTTCCTAACTCATTCTATGAGTGCAGTATTAAGCTGATAACAAGGTCAAAGATACCACAATAATACTACACATAAAGATCCCTCATTAATATATATGCAAAACCCTCAAAAACATCTTTGAAACTAAATCCAGAAACATATTAAAAGATTTAAAACCATGAACTACGTGATTTATACCAGGAATACAAGCTTGGTTCAATATACAAAAATCAATCAGGGGGAGTGAAGTCCAGAAGACAGCAGAATAGGAGGTCCCAGTTCATATCTCCCCACCCAGAAACACCAATTTAGCTACTATCAATGGAGTAAAATACCCCCATAAGAGTTCCTGAATCCAGATGGGAGGTTAAAACAATCTAGTGGAGCACAGAAACAAGCAAACAGAAAAATACACATTGAAAAGGGTAAGAAGAAAAGTTTCACTTTAACTGGATTACTCCTTCCCCAAGCCAGCACAATGCAGTGCTGAGAGAGACTTCTTGACACAAGTTGTATGATGGGGGAAAGAGAACAAAATGAGCATCTGACATCCTTACCATTTCAGGGAACCACCCAAGAGCCTCACTTTTGTAGCACCTCACCCAGAACATAGAGTGAGTCAGCATTGCTAGATCACCTGGGGATAGCTAAGAACAAAGAAAAGAGGTGGGGACTCTTAACAACCAGCACACAGATCTCAACAGATGGCCCACAGTCCACCGTAGTGGGCCCACCTGTGGCCTATAGCAAAGTGCCCATCTGCACAAGGACCCCCAGCAATGGACACACCCACCTTCAGGCTCCAGCACTGAGTCCTCCTGCCCATGGACCTCATCAGCTGGCTCACACAGAATTTCTGACCAGGCTAACTGGTTAAGGCCTTTCCCTGCCAAAGCCTGTATGTAAATATTACAAGTGACTACTTCTTAAAAATGCAAAAACAGAAATGCAGGGATCATGAAGGATCAGAGAATACAACACTTCTAAATGAACAAAATCAAGCTCTAGTAACTGACCCTAAAGAAATGGAGATCTACCAACTGCTCGACAAAGAATTCAAAATAACCATCTTAAAGAAGCTTAGTGAGCTACAAGGGAACACAGATAAGACAATAAAAGGGAATCAGGAAAATAATACATGAACAAAATGAGCAGGTCAATAAAGAGAAACCTTAAAAAAGAAGCAAACAGAAATCCTTGACTTCCAGTAAAGATGTATGATATGGTCAGTAAGTAAACTCGGGTCACTAACTCCTACGATCACAACAAAATTACACTAAATCCCAGAAGAAAAATCATTCAGAACCACCTGAAGACTAGCTGAACAGTACTATAACTAAGGATATAAAGAAGATGCCATGTCGAGAATGGTAGGACAGATGGGGATGTAGAATGGGCAGGTCTCACAATCACAGTCTAGCAAGTCTCCACACCAGGCTCTCCAATCTGAGGCACCAGCACCGGTAAGAACATTCCCCATAACATCTGGTTGTGAAAACCAGAGGGGATTGCATGTGAGAAAGACAAAGGGCTGCAAGAGACAGAGAAATGCAGTCTTTTTTTTTTTTAAGCTGAGCCATCCTGCCACCTATTGGCAGCTCAGCGGCAGCTCAGCTCAGGCCAGGCATTGAAGCACTGTTGCTCAGAGCTCAAATTCTTGAACGAGCTCTTAACCAAATGAGCCACTTGGCTGGCCCCCGAGAAATGCTACTCTTAAAGGGCCAGTGCACAGACTCATTCACTTACAAACTCACTCGCTCCAAGGTCCTGAACAGGCAGGTGTAGCAGCTCAAAAAGTACCCAAGACACATGAGGAGGAACTAAATTGACTAACTTCAGGGTGAGGGCTGGAGGCGTGGAGGTCAGGGCAACTCTCTCTGGGGAAAGAATTGCTGGCAGGCACCATTTTTCCTTTGCTGAGCTCTCCTCCCACCCAGCTGTCCCAGCACAGGTGGGCACCAAATCTGTGCTCTCCATTAAACTGGCTAACATATTTTGCCCCACTCTGGTGATTCCCTGAGACCCCGCCCCACCCAATTAATTCGCCTGGCCCAAGACTCTTCCAGCAGCTTCTCCACAGAAGCAAGCTGCCTTGACACATTCTGTGGACTTGATCAAAATCTTTCAAAGGTCCACAAACCCCAAACAGCAGCTAGCGTTGGCATGCCTTGTAGTTCTTGCAAAATAGTCCCAAGCCAAGCACAAGTGGTGATAGCCTTTAACTTGCACTGTAGCTTCCATCAGGTGGCCCCAAGCCTGGCATAAGCAGTTGCCAGTCGTGGCCTGGAATGTAGCTTCAACTAAGTGGCCACAAGCCTGGCACAAGTTAGCACTGGCCTTATTTCACATCATGGTGGCCAACAAAGGGTGCCAAGCCTGGCACTAGTGGTGGCTGGCCTCAGTTCACAGCAGATTCTCTCAAGCTACTCTACGTCCAGCACAAGCAGGAACCAACCACAGATCACTTTGTAGCTCCCAGAAAGCTGACCCAAGCCCAGAACAAGCAACAACTGATCTTGGCCTGCACTGGAACCCCTCCCAAGAAGCTCCAGAACCAACACACCTAGTGGCCAGCTCCAGACCACACCAGATCACCACTGAAACAGCTCCAACAATGACATACCCAAAGGGAGGACTTGACTGGCACCAGAACCCTGCTAAAGCAACTCCTGCTCCATGAGGTCAGTCTCCATACAATAGTTTCTCCACTGTAGTTATGGCCAGCCCTTACAGTCAGTCAGCTTGAGAGTCAACCCCAGCCACTGGCATACCAACAGCAATCAAGGCCCAACTACTAGAGGAGGGCACACACAACACACAGGGGACATCTCTGGAGCACCTAGATCAGATGACAAGGGAGACTGCACCACTGGGCCTCAAAGGACACCTAATAGATAAGACAATTCTATCAAGGCTGGAATCCATAGCAGAACTAACTAACATAGAAACAAATGCAGGGAGCCAGCCAAAATGAGAAAACATATTTAAAAAAAAAACAGGACAAAACTCCAGAAAAAAGAACTAAATGAAATGGAGACAAGCAATCTACTAGATACAGAGTTTGTAACACTTGTTATAAGGGTGCTCAATGAACTTAGGAAGAATAGATGAACTCAGTGAGAATTTCAACAATGAGATGGAAAACACAAAAAAACCCCCAAAAAAACAGTCATAATTGAAGAAGACAATACCTGAAATGAAGAATACACTAGAGGAAATCAACAGCAGATTACACAAAGGAGAGAATCGAATCAACAAGCTGGAAGACAAGGAAGCAGACAAAACAAAAATCAAAATAGCAAAAAGAAATTAAAAATGAGGATAGTTTAAGGGACCTCTGGGGGAATATCAAGTGTACCAACATTTACATCATAGTGGTACCAGAAGGAGAAGACAGAGAGTAAGGAATTGAAAACCTATTTGAAGACATCATGATGGAAAATTTCCCTAACCTGATGAAGGAAATAGACATACAAGTCCAGTAACTACAGAGTCCCAAACAAGATGAACCCAATAAGGCTCACACAAACACACATCATAATTAAAATGTCAAAACATAAAGACAAAGAGATGATCTTAAAAGTAGCAAGAGAAAAGCAGTTATATACAAGGGAGCTCTCATTAGACTATCAGCTGATTTCTCAACAGAAACTTTGCAGACCAGAAGGGAATGGCATAAAATATTCAAAGTGAATAAAGACAAAGGCCTACAACCAAGGTTACGCTATCCAGCAAGGCTAGCATTCAGAATCGAAAAAAAGATAAAGTGTCCCAGACAAGAAAAAACTAAAAGAGTTAATCACCACTAAACCAGCACTACAAGAAATGTTAAAGGGATTTCTATAAGTAGAAAATATAAAAAATATGAATAAGAAAATATACGAAAGAAAAAAATTCTCACTGATGAATGCAAACACAGGAAAAGCCATAGATTAACAAACTACAAAGCTAGTACAAAGACAAAAATAGGAAGATCATGTGCAATTACAATAAATTAAGTGATATACACAAACACACACAAAAGTTAAAAAAAATGACAAAAACATAAACATGGAAAGGGTGAGTAAAAATTGTACTAATTTTATAATGTGTCCAAACTTAAGAAACTGTCAACTTAAAATAGCCTGCTATAATCATAGCTTGGTATAGTAAGCACATAGTAACCACAAACCAAAAATCTGTAAGAGATTTACAAGAAATAAGAGAAAAGAAACCAAATAAAACACTATAAAAAGTCATCAACATACAAGAGAAAAGAGCAAAGCAATAGGGAAGGAACAGAGAACTACAAAAACAATCAGAAAACAATTAATAAAACGGCAATAACTATATACCTACCAATACTTACTTTAAATGTAAATGGACTAAATGCTCCAATTAAAAGATATAGGGTGACTGAATGAATAAAAAAACAACCAACTTTTAAATATGCTGCCTAGAGGAGACACACCTCAGTTTGAAAAACACATATAGACTGAAAGTAAAAAGATGTTAAAAGATATTTCATGCAAATGGAAATGAAAAAAGAGCCGGGGTAGCAATCCTTAGATAAAATAGACTTTAAAACAGACAAATAGACAAAGAAGAGCATTTCATAATGATAAATGGGTGAATCCAAGAAGCGGATATAACATTTGTAAAAATCTACACACCTAAGGTAGAAGTAACTAAATATATAAAGCAAATAGTGACAGACAAAAAGGGAGAGATCAAGAGTAACAAAATAATAGTAGGGGACTTTAATGCCCCATTGACATCAATGGATAAATCATCCAGACAGAAAATCAACAAGGAAAAAGTGGCCTTAAATGGTATGCTAGACCAGATGGACTTAGTTGACAATTTTTAGTATAGTTTACCCCAAAGCAGCAGAATGTACATTTTTTTTCATGTGCTCATGAAACTTTTTCCAGGATAGACCACATGTTAGGTCACAAAACAAGTCTCAATAAATTTAAGAAGATTGAAATCATATCAAGCATCTCCTCCAATCACAATGGTATGAAACTAGAAATCAATTATAAGAAGAAAACTAAAAAACACCGAAGATGTGGTACATACACACAATGGGATATTACTCTACCATAAAAAAAAGATATCTTGCCATTTGCAGCAACATGGATAGACCTAGACGATATTATGCTAAGTGAAATAAGTCAGACAAAGAAAGACGAATACCACATGACTTCACTTATATGTGGAATCTAAGAATCAAAATAAATAAAAGAACAAAACAGAAACAAACTCATATTGGGTAGTCAGAAAAGTCATGACTTATTTTTTCTGTTTTTCATTGCAAAAATGCGTCATGACTTTTCCAATAACCCAATAGATACACAAAACAAATTGATAGTTGCCAGGTGGGAGGAGGGTTGTGGGCAAGGTGAAAATGTGAAGGGATTAAGAAGTACAAATTGCCAGTTATAAAAACTAATGCAGATGTAAATTACAGCATGAGGAATATAGTCAATAATGTAATAACTATGGTGTCATATGGGTACTAGATTTATTGGGGTGATCACTTTGTAAGTTATATTAATGTCTGGTGTATGTTGTACACCTAAAACTAATGTAGCATTGCAAATTAAAAAAAATAATTGTGAACTGAAGAATACAATGATTGATCTAAAAAGTCCAACACAGAACTTCAACATCAGGTTTGATCAAGCAGAATATAGAAACAACAAGCTCAAGATTAGTCATTAATAATTACCCAGTCAGAGGAATAACAAAAACAACAAAAATAATGAAAAGGATGAAGAAAGCCTAATGGGACTTATGAGACAAAATATAGTGAACCAATATGTGCATTATGGGGATCCCAGAAGGAGAAAAGAGAAAGAGAAAGGATGAAAGCAACTTATTTTAAGACATAATGGCTGAAAATACACCAAATCTGGGAAGGGAAATGGACATCTAGATTCATGAAATATAAAGGAACTCAAATAGTTTGAATGTAAAGAGGTCGACACTGAGACACATTATAATTAAACTGTCAAGAATCAAAGATGAATAAATAATTTTGAAACCAGTAAGAGAAAAGTGACTCAGCACATACATAGCAAACCTTATAAGACTGTAAGTGCATTTCTGAGAAGAAACTTGTAGGTTAGCAGAGAATGGGATGATGTAGTCAAAGTATTGAAAAATAATTAAAGCCAGTCAAGAACTCTATATCGGCAAATGTGTCTTTTAAAAATGGAGATATAAAGAACTTCCTAGACAAAAGCTGATAGAGCTCACCACCACCAAACCTACCATATAGGACATACTAAAAAGAGTTCTTTAAGTTGAAACAAAATTACCCCAAAGAGCAACACAGAAACATATGAAAGTGTAAGTCTCACTGGCAAAGGTAAATGAATAGGAAAAATAAGAATAAAGTACAACTATAATGGTGGTATGTAAAACACTTTTAAACCTAGTATAAATGTTAAAAAACAAAAATACAAAGAATAACTAAATCCATAAAATTTGTTAATGGATACATAATATAAAAAGATAAATTGTGACATTAATAACAAAGTGGCAGGGAAAATAAAAGTGTAGCATTTTTATATGAGATGGAAGGGTTTCTTTTAGCTTAAAATAGACTGGTACAACTATAAGAAGTATTATGCAAGCCTCATAGTAACCACAAGGAAAAAAAACTATAACAGATGCAAAAATATAAAGGAAAATTCTCAAAGTATATCACTTCAAAAAAAAATCATCAAATCACAGTGGAAGACCACAAATGAATGAGGAAAAGAACAACAAAATAGACCAAAAACAGTGAATGAAATGGCAATAGTAATTCCTTACCTATCAATAATTGCTTTAAATATAAATGGATCAAACTCACCAATCAAAAGTAGAGTTGCCCAATGGATAAACAGACCAACTATAATTGTCTACGAGTTGTCTACTACAGACTCCCTTTTAGATTTAAGAACATACCAAGACTGAAAGTGAAAGGAGTGAAAGAGATAATTCATATAAATGGTACCCAAATGAGAGCACAGGTAGAAATACTTATAAAAGACAAAATAGACTTGAAGTAAAAAACTGCCACAGGAGACAAAGAAGGTAATTGCATAATAACAAAAGGGTGAATTCAATGGGAATATATAACAATGATAAATATATATATACACACATCAAAGCACAGAATTATACAAAGTAATCATTAACAGACTGAAGGAGGAAATAGACAACAATACAATAACAGTAGGAGACTTCAACACCTCATTTTCTATAATGGATAGATCATCCAGACTGATAATAAGAATAGCTGACTTAAAGAACACTGTTTACCACATGAACCTAAGAGACATATCCAGTACATTCTACCTAACAGCAGCAGAATACATGTTATTTTCAATAACACATGGAACATTTTCCAGGATAGATCACATGCTAGGTATTTAAAAAGTATTAAATAACTTAAGAAATTGAACTAATTCTGAGATTCCTTTCTAATTGCAATGGAATGAAACTAGAAATCAATAACAAAAGGAATATGTGAAAATGTACAGAAACATGTAAATTAAACAATACAATGTTGAACAACCATTGGGTCAAAGAAGAAACCAAAATAAAAATCAGAAAATATTATGAGGCAAGTGTAAACTAAAACAAAACATATAAAAAGTTATGGGATTCAGCAAAACAAAGAAAAAAAACCCCAAAACGTATGGGATACTAAGAGGGAAGTAAAAAGAAAACAACAGAAATCCTAGAACTAAATACAATGACTGAATTGAAAATGAAATACAGAATTTCAACAACGGACTTGACCAAAGAGAAGAATTAATGAATGCAAAGCCATGTCATTTGAAATTATCCAGAGGTGAAAAAAAAGAAAAGAAGAAGGAAATAGAAAAAGAAAAAGAGAAGAAAGCATATGAGACTCAAGGGACCCCATATAGCAAACATTATATCTGGGATTGTGGGACCCTCAGGAGAAGAAAGAGAGAAAGGGACAGAAAGTTTATTTAAAGAAATAATGCCTGAAAACTCTGAAACATGGGGAGAGAAATACACTCAGATTCCCGAGGCCCAAGATTCCCTACATAGGTTGAACATGGAAGGAGCTACATATTATATACATTATCAAAAGTTAAATACAAAAATTTCTGAAAGCTCAAAACGAAAAGTGACTTGTTACATATAAGGGAGCCCCATAAGACTATAAGTGCATTTTGCAGCAGAAACTTTGCAGGCCAAGAGAGAATAGAAAGATATATTCAAAATACTGAAGGAAAAATGTCTACCAACAATATTATACCCAGTAAAGCTGTCCTTCAAATATGAAGGAAAGATAAACTTTCCCAAACAAAAGATGAGGGAGTTAGTCAGCATTAGACATGCCTTACAAGAAATATTAAAGGGAGTTCTTCAAGCTGAAAAGAAAGGACACCAGTTAACAATGTCCTAATTGTTGAAGGGACATATAAAGTCAAAGTCAGATTCTCTAATATTGTAATGGTAGTGTATAAGCCACTTTCAACTATAGTTTAAAAGTTTAAAAAAACAAACATATATAAGATAGCAAGAGAAAAAGAAAGGAATAAAGGAACTACAAAAAGGCAGAAAACAATTAACAAAATGACAATAGTAAGTCTTTACCTATCAATTTTACTTTAAATGTAAATGGATTGAATTCTCCAATCAAAAGACATAGAGTGGTCTCCCTAATAAGTCCAGTGCCCATCTGGCACACTATATAATCTTTACAACATTATTGATTATATTCCCCAAACTGTATTTCATATCCCCGTGGCTACATTGTGACTACTAATTTGTACTTTCTAATCCTTTACCTTCTCCCCCATCTCCTCCCCTCTCCCATCTAGCAACCATTAGTTCCCCCCCCCCATATTTCTAAGTCTATTTTCATTTTGTTTGTTTGTTTATTCTGTTCTTTAGATTCCACATATAAGTGAGATCATATGGTACTGCACTTATTAGGGAGACCACTTCATAGAATGTGTAGATGCCTGACCACTGTGCTATACACCTGAAGCTGAAGTTGAATAATATGGAATGTCAACTATAATTTTACACACACACACACACACACACACACACACAGTGCCAAAAAATGTATACACATTTTAAGAAAGGAAAAATTATTAATATTGTAATACTCTATACCAATAACAAAAGATGAATACAAGTCATGTTTGACTTCTGCAATTACAAGAGGTGCTCAAAGTGGTTACCATCAGTGTTCAGACACTTCTGATTATGGCGAACTACTGCTTGAGCAACATTGACCAAAGTGTCCACTTGTATATAATTTTTGGCATCCCAGGATGTATGTATGTATGTGTATGTGTGTGTGTATAGTGTATAATATATTAATATATATATATATATATATATATATATATATATATATATATATATA